TATAAGTTCCCTTTCGTAGTCACTTCGAGTTACGTCAGAAGTGACGGAGATTGGGTTTCGCATAGAAAGCCAATCCTCTTCGAGTATTTAAACACGAGCCAATGGCATGCAATGCCTTGGGGCTGCGGAAATTTGCATAGCGTACTCCGCCCTACTCCGTGAGTATAAAAGGAGGAAGTGAACGCAACCGCAGTATGTTTTCGCTTCGGAGCCAAGAGAACCTCTTCACTCCTAAAAGCTGATTCAAGACTCTTCGAGAACGAGCGTCCTCTTCAGTGTTGGTGTGACGGCGGTACCCAGCGAGATTTTGCATTGCCTGCGATCTGAGCAGTGGTCTGCCAGACTTTGCACTTCTCCCTGGTAGCTTCAGCGCTGAAAGAGTGAATTTCTCCTTTCTCATAAAAGTGAAAGTGAAAGAGCTGCACGCGGCACGTCTTTAAAGATGGTTCGCCCGTGCCCTTCTGGATGTGGTAGATTTCTGTCATCATCTGATGGTCACGAACGCTGCTTTGTATGCCTGGGCATTCAGCATGCAGCAGCAGCGTTCGTGGATGACTCATGTTCCTTCTGTGGGAGCATGACCATCTCCACACTGAGGTCGAGGCTCAATGATCTCACTAGAGTGAGAGCCCCGGTCCCCCCACTCGATTCGGCTTCCTTCACGAAGGGGGCCCGTCGACCCGGGGACCCGGCGATCTAACGGTGGACGGTGTGGGATAAAGCCCGACGATTCCCCTCGGCCACACCTCCCGCCTCAGTGCGTGAGCCAGCGAGCGCTAGCGCGACTCGGTCGGTTGTCTCTTCGGCGGCACCGGCTGCTTCGAGCAGCGCTCCAGATGATGATGTGATGTCTATCCACAGCATCACTAGCGGGCTTGAGTCCTCGGAGAGGAAGATGCGGCTGCGTTGCCCCCTTCGGGAGTGCCAGCGTTGCCCGTGTCAGATCCCGAGCTGACGGCCATGCTGTCTCGAGCCGCTGGGAGTATCGGGCTAGAATGGAAACCTCCATCCTGCCCCGATCTCTCGCGGATGGATGATTGGTATCTGGACAAAGCTGCCGCCGCAAGGCCACGGCCAACTCCAATACCTTTTTTCCCCGAGCTGCATGCGGAGTTATCGCGCTCTTGGGGGGCTCCTTTGTCCACTCGAGAGCGCGATCTCTCCCCCGCCTTTCCCCCCCTCGACGGTGGGGCCGCCCGTGGGTACACTGGGATGCCCCGGTGGAGCGCTCTGTTGCGATGCCAGCTGTGTCCACAGAGCGCCTCCACCCGTGGTCCTCCTAAGCACCCATCCAAAGCCTGTGGGTTCTCGTCTGCTATGGCGGCGCGAGCCTATAGAGCGGCGGGACAGGCGGCTTCCGCTTTGCATGCCATGAGCACTTTGCAGGTCTTCCAAGCGAAGATGCTCAGAGACATGCACGAGGGCGGGACTGACTCGACGGCATTTAAAGATTTGCGGTCCGCCACTGACCTTGCTCTCCGGGCAACGAAAGTGGCTGCTCGCGCCGTCGGTCAGGTGATGGCCACTTCGGTGGTTCAGGAGCGACATCTCTGGCTCAACCTGGCAGACACGCGGAGCGCTGAGCGGACTCGTCTGCTCGACGCTCCGCTCTCCCAGGTTGGCCTTTTCGGCGGTGCGGTCGAGGACTTCGCCCAGCAGTTCTCCACCGCCCAGAAGCAGACGGAGGCCATTAAACACATCCTGCCCCGGCGACCAGCTGCTGCCTCCACCCAGTCATCGGCGCAGGTGCCTCCCTCTGCTCGCCGCCGAGGACGCCCCCCTGCGGCTCCCTCCCTCCCGCCCGGCCCCAGCAGCAGCCTTCACCCGGGCCCCGGCGTCGAGGAGGCCGCAGGCCGGCGTCTCAGCCCCCTCAGGCCGCTCGCCCCCGCTAAACGCCAGGCCAAGCGAAGATCCTGACACGGGCCGCTCAGTGACGATCTCGAGTCTTTCTCAGGAGGCGGTAGCAGGCCCCCTCCTTCCCCCGGTGGAGGGCCGGGGGAGAATCTTTTGTTCTCAGCTCCCCGCTGCTCACCCACGGGTGGGCAGCACCCTGAACTGGTTAAAGAAAGACTTGACATCCTCACTGAGCTCACAGACTGGAGTGGGTGCGCTCGATGCCCCCGTGCGTCAGCCCACACTCCTCTCTGTCTCTGAGGGCGCGGAAGGGTGCGTGTGTCGTCCCCGGGCTACACCAATCCCTTCCCCCTCTGTCGCCAGACCCCGGCAGAACAGACCCCCGTGGAACGCTCCGCTTTCCCTGGTCCGTCTGTCGGGGAGCGGGCTTCGACGCATCCGAGCGGGGTAACCCCTGCACGCGTGCCAGTCGACCCACACCGCTGCCCTCCGGGGGGACGTCTGTGGTTCGCATGACCCCGTTGGCTCATTTCCTGGAAGCCTGGCTAGCGCTTCCCGGGATATCCCGCTGGGTCATCAGAACGATCAGATTCGGCTACGCGATTCAGTTCGCACGGTCTCCTCCCCGCTTCAGGGGAGTTCGCTCCACGATAGTTGGTGGCAATGCCCCAGTCCTGAGAGCGGAGATTGCGACCCTGCTGGCGAAGGGTGCAATCGAGACGGTCCCTCCAGCCGAGGTGAAGTCCGGGTTTTACAGCCCCTACTTCATTGTCCCCAAGAAGACCGGTGGGTTACGACCGATCCTGGACCTGCGCATTTTGAACCGTTCTCTCCATCGACTACCGTTCAAAATGCTCACGGCCAAACGCATTTTCGAATGTGTTCGGTATCAGGATTGGTTTGCAGCGATCGACCTGAAGGACGCGTACTTCCATGTGTCCATCTTACCTCGACACAGACCGTTTCTTCGGTTTGCCTTCGAGGGCCAGGCATATCAGTACGCCGTTCTCCCATTCGGGTTAGCTCTGTCCCCTCGCGTCTTCACGAAGATCGTCGAGGCAGCCCTTGTTCCCCTTCGCGAACACGGGGTTCGCATCCTGAATTATCTCGACGACTGGCTAATACTAGCACACTCTCGAGCTCAGCTTTGCGAACACAGAGACTTGGTGCTCCGGCACCTAGCCCGTTTGGGCCTTCGGGTCAACCGGGAGAAGAGCAAACTTTGCCCCGTGCAGAGGATCTCTTTTCTCGGCATGGAGATAGACTCGGTCGCCATGTCCGCGCAGCTCACGAACGAGCGCGCGCACTCACTGCTGACTTGTCTTCGACAGTTCGAGGGCAAGAGTGCGGTTCCACTGAAACTATTTCAGAGGCTCCTGGGGCATATGGCATCCGCGGCCGCGGCAACGCCGCTCGGTTTGCTTCATATGAGACCGCTTCAGCTGTGGCTTCGCGATCGAGTCCCGAGGTGGGCATGGCATCGCGGCTCGCTCCGAGTTCCAGTGACTCCAGCGTGCCGCCGAACCTTCTTCCCGTGGTCGAACCTCAGCTTCTTACGGACCGGCGTCCCTATTCAGCGAGTTTCCAGGCATCTCGTTGTCTCCACGGATGCATCTACCACGGGTTGGGGTGCCATGTGCAATGGGCATGCAGCCGCCGGTTCCTGGACAGGAGCCCAGCGCCTCATGCACATCAATTGCCTCGAGCTGTTGGCAGTACGGCTCGCCCTACGCCGCTTCCGAGCGTTGCTCAAGGGCCAGCATGTGCTTGTCCGCTCAGACAACACTACGGCAGTAGCGTACATCAACCACCAGGGGGGTCTACGCTCACGCCAGTTGTCGCAGCTCGCCGCCACCTCTTGATATGGAGTCAGAAGCACCTGAGGTCCCTTCGTGCAGTTTACATTCCTGGAGACCGGAACTGGGCAGCCGACGAGCTGTCCCGGGTCCGCCCCATCTCCGGCGAATGGCGACTCCATCCCCAGTCGGTCCAGCTGATTTGGGACGAGTTCGGGGAGGCACAGATAGACCTGTTCGCCTCTCGGGACTCGTCCCACTGCGCCCAGTTTTATTCTCTGACCCGCGGCACTCTCGGCTCGGATGCGCTGGCGCACAGCTGGCCACGGGGCCCACGCAAGTATGCGTTTCCCCCAGTGAGCCTCCTTGCACGGGTGTTGTGCAAGATCAAGGAGGACGAGGAGCAGGTCTTGCTGGTAGCCCCCTACTGGCCCACCAAGACGTGGTTCTCCGATCTCATGCTCCTCGCGACAGCACCTCCTTGGCCTATTCCTCTGAGACAAGACCTACTCTCTCAGAGACGGGGCACTCTGTGGCACCCTCGTCCCGATCTTTGGAGGCTGCACGTGTGGCTCCTGGACGGGACGAGGCAGGTTTGAGTTCGCTGCCACCTGCGGTGGCGGCAACCATCACTTCCGCAAGAGCGTCGTCCACGAGACACCTTTATGCGTTGAAGTGGAACCTCTTCGTCAATTGGTGCTCTTCTCGCGGAGAAGACCCCCGGAGATGTTCGATCAGTGTCGTGCTTTCCTTCCTGCAAGAAGGGTTGGAGCGCAGGCTGTCGCCCTCCACCCTTAAGGTTTACGTCGCGGCCATTGCCGCTTCTCATGAAGCAGTGGAAGGTAAGTCCTTAGGGAAGCACGACTTGGTCATCAGGTTCCTGAGGGGAGCGAGGAGGCTGCATCCGCCTCGTCCTCCCTCGTACCCTCTTGGGACCTCTCGGTAGTTTTAAGTGCTCTGCAGAGGCATCCCTTTGAGCCTTTGCAATCGGTAGAGTTAAAGTTTCTGTCCATGAAGACAGCACTCCTGGTTGCATTGGCCTCCATCAAGAGGGTGGGGGACCTGCACGCATTCTCCGTTGACGAAGCGTGCCTGGAGTTCGGGCCGGCTTACTCTCACG